GGGGGAAACAAATTGGTTTTTGGGGTCTGCGAGTTTTTTTGGAGTGTGAGCAGGGTAATATTTATAAAGGTATTCGGGGAAAATTTTTTTTTTTTTTTTTTTTTACAGTGATAATGTGCGAGTGTGGGAAAGTGTTGAATGATGAGAAAGTATTTTTTTTTGGGGGATTTTCTTTCTTTTTTGGGTCCCCCTGCCCGGTGGGAGAGGGGAATTTGTTAAAAAAAAAAAAAAAAAAAAAAAAATTCAGGGAAAAAAGTTATTTTTATATAGCTGGACTTGAGTACTGAAAAAGGGGGGAAGTAAAATGCTGTATTTTAGCCTTAAATGGTCCAAACGTATTATACTTTTTTCAACATTAAAAGTATGAAAAAAAATGTAGATTTTTTTTTTTTTTTTTACTTTTTGAAAACGTGTAAAAAATTTTACCCCTTTTTTTTTTTTTGTTTATTTGAAAATTGAAAAAAAAACATTAGATCTACTTTTGTAAAAAACAATTTGAACGTCGATCGTTTGGACATTTAAGGGTTAGGGGGAGGGGTTTGGGGATTTGGCGTTTGGGGGTATGTTTATTTTTTCTTTTATATGTTCAAAAACTTTTGTATTGGGCCCTGCAAAAACACTGTTATGTAGATGAGGTAAAATGTTAAAATGTGAGAAAGTATTTCCTTTTTGGGGAAATTTTTTTTCTTTTTGGGTCCCCCCTGCCTCAGTGGGAGAGGGCCCCCGGACTTGTTAAAAAAAATACTATTTTTTTTTGTATTATAAAATGCTTCACTTACTGCCAAAAAAACTAGTAAAGTTCATAGTGCATTACGGTGTTGAACCCCCCCAAAAATCTATTGACCCTCCAAAGCCCCTGAAAAAAAATAGTAATAAAATAATTTGGGAACTTATGACAATTTGCTAGCCCCTCCCCCTTTTTCTGACCAGATTGTCCCCTAAGACCTTCCTATAAAATTTTTGGGTGTCCCCCTATGGGGCATGTTTACATTAGTGTTAAAGGGGAAAAATAATCTGGTCGCCCAGTATCCCTTCCAATATATTTTTTTTAACCCACTGGTAGTCTCCCATGAGGCAGGGGACCTAAAAAGCAACAAAATAAAGGTTTTTTTTCTATTTGTAATATTTATTTTTATTCACGGGGGTTTTTAAATATAATTATGTATGTAATATTAAAAATAATGTGAAAATTTGCCTGTTTTCTTCCCTCTTTTCCCATTCTTTTCTAGCCCCTTAAATCTATATTCCAGAAAACCCTCTCTACCTTGGATCATACTTGTTAAAACCCTTCCAAATGTCCTTTCACTTACAGTATGCTGTCAAACAGAACGTGTTTCTGTAAAATATTGTGCATGTGTTGGAATTTCTTAAAATTAGTATTTGAAACTAGACTGGCATTTATTTAGTATGACCATTGCTGATTTACATATTTCTCTCCATTCTTGTGCCTAGAAGGACCACTTTGTTCCAAAACAGAAGACATTTTATGTTGAAGGTAGCTTTTGCCTTTGTTAAAAAACAAGAGACTCAAGGTGTCCCTTTTAGCCTACATTGTTCCCTCATTACCATCACCAAATCACCCAGTTTTTCCCTTTGTGGATGTGGTCTTTCCTTTTGGAACAGTTTTGGGCATTGGTTTTGGGGGTGGTTGTCGGCGCTATTTGCTGTACAATCAGCTGGTTGTCGTACAATAGCTGGTTGCTTGTCAATCGCTGGTTGCCGTACAATCGCTGGTTGCTCATAAAAATCGCTGGTGGCCCCCACACTACATTTTTCTTTTGCCCGATTTAATTGGTTACTTTACATGTTTTAAGTTCTCGAATAAGACACAGTTTTCAGTTTATGGCTTTTTAATGAGAATCATTTTGTCCACCACGGTTTTATCACTCCATTATTACTAAAGTGCATGGGGGGCAAAATGCTTCTCAATAAATAATTTTATAGAGTGCTTACAAACGTACTGTCAAATTGTAATGAAGGGGTAGTTTTAGATACAGAGACCTTAATAACAGTAAGTTCTCATTTAAAATGTCATTGAAGGTTCTTGGAAACTGCAATTTTAAAAGAAATGACATAAAAGAAACAATTTACCCAGGTGTTGTGTGAATATCGGGGTCCCATTATACATTTAGCACCATTTAATGGGGGTTAAATTGAGGAAAAAATGTTTGCAAATGGAAATTTATGGATCACTTCTACCACCAGGCAGTTCAGAAACCATGTGCACCCTCCACAGACCCGGGCCGGAATAAATTTTTTTTCTCATAAACGTTTAACGAAATGCGTTGAACAAAAGAGTTAAGTGGGACTTGTGTTAAATCAGGGCAGTCCAAAAAATGCACATAGGAGAGAGGGCTTATACAATGTTTTGGCCCAAACTTGGACCTTTTTTTGGTACTGATCCAAGTTAGATTGAAATGTCGTAAAGCCCTTCTCCTATGTATGGATTATTGTGTTCATAATTAATAGTACACCTCCCATCCGATTATGACCGAGTTCGGTTCCGAGAAACGGTCGTAGCGAAATGGGGAAAGTCGAACTTTATACTGAATATCAAATCCCTTTTGAAATGACTTTTATTTTATTGTTTTATTTTGGATTTCATGTTTTACTTTACTTTTTATGCTGTTGACTGATTTTATACTGTAAGGTTTAGGAAAACATGTGTAAACCCAAAATTTTGTTTTTTAGAGAAATTTGACATAAAAAACACGGTAGTAAGTCGATGGTCGTAAGTCGGCAGGTGTAAGTCGGATGGTAGGTGTTTTAGAAATCCCCTTTTCAAAAGGGAATCTTGTTTTTGGAAAAAGGGGCTGTCCCCATACCTTTTTAAATTTTCATTGCCCGGAAAACTTTGTATGATCTCAGCATTTAGCACTCCTCTGTGTATGTTATTAATTGTACATACATGGCATTCTGTCTTTCCCAAGCTTCCCATATTCCTGCATGCTTATGTGAAAACCCTGACAAACATGTTTCTCAGCCTCTTTTGCTGTTCAGGGAAGCACCAACTGTTCTTAGTCTCTTGGGCAATTCACTCGTAATTTTCTCATTGCCCCGGGACGATCAAAAATTTCATGTTGTTTTTTCACTTTAGCGTAATTTGCACTGTTATTTGATTTTTTGTTTGGTGTTTTTAAAGAAAGCACTGGAAAACCCTTCACAGAAAAATGTATTCAATTTTGATGCAGTTTTCAATCACTTTGCTAAACAAATCACCCATTTGAGAAGATTTGAAAAGGGGTAAACTGTTTTCAGTTTTTGGAACTAAAATGTACATATTTAAATTTATCAGAGTTACAGTTTTAATTTTATTACATAAAAAATTTTTTACTTAATAAAAAGTATTATTTTTTTTACTGTTTTTTGTTTTATATATTTTTTGTTTTTACAAAATTTTCAGCCATCCCCCAAAAGGCAGGGAGAGTTAAGGCGAAGGGTTTTGATCTAAAAAATTGGAGCTATCCCCTCTTCCTCAAATAAAAACCCAAGTTTTCCTAACCCTGCATGAACCGTGAGGGCTTGGCGTTAACCGTCCAAACCGCAGTGGACTGGATTGTTTTGAAAATTAAAATCCACCCTATTTAATTTTCCCCAATTACTTATTTACTAAAAGCCTTTTAAGCATTACTTACATTTTTTGGGGGGGGCTAAACCATAGGAGTTATAAACACTGGGGAGCTGTATGCCCCCTTGGGGGTTTTGGGATTAGTTTTTTGTTGTTTAATAAGAACCTGGGGAAGGGAAAAAAAAGCACTGGGGTTAAATTTCAGTGAATGGAGCACGGGGCCAATTTTTGGATCAGGAACCCCTTTCCCAGGATCAAGGAACCTTAACCAGCTAAAGGGAAACCTTCCCCCAACTCAAAGAGCCTTCCCCAGCATCAAAAAACCCTTCATCAGCATCACTTACCCTTTTTCCCAGCATCGAGGAACCTTACCAGCATAAAGGGAAACCCTTTTACCAGATAAAGGGAACCTTCATCAGCATTACTTGGCACACCACTTAAGGAATGTTCCTAAATTTTGGTGAGTGGCTTTCATCAAGGGGAAT